GGTTGACTCAGCCATCCATCCTTCCGAGGTGGGTGAAATGAGGACCCGGATTGTTGTTGGGAGCGATATGCTGACTCTGTAAACCGCTTAGAGAGGGCTGAAAGCCCTATGAATGTGGTATATAAGTCTAACTGCTATTGCCAACCAAATATGGAAAGGTTGTGGCTGAGAATAGTCTAATTCCTGTATTATAATGGCAGGCTTGAATTCATAAAGAGCAGGCGTCACCAAAGGAAGTGGTGGACATTAGAAGGAAAGAGGGAAATACTCAAGACTGCAAATACAAAGAGCATAGGAGTTTGGTATTTTTGTATATAAAAATATTAGCTTTTTTTGTTGTTTTCCAGAGGAAGGCAAGCAACTTCCTCACTCTAATTCTGGCATTAGTCCCTTCCTTATAGAGGAAATATTACAGTTACAGTCAGTTATTGTGGACTGCTAACAGCTGATAGGTAAAAAGGACTATAAAGTATGGATCGCCAGTGGATCTTCTGTGCAATTCATGTTTCTCTTGAGTCCCAGAAACGGAGCCCCCCCCCTCTTACCTGCGGGAAGAAGCGAAGGAAAAGTGGGCTGGTGTGTTGGGGGAGAAATTCCGAGGACTGTCAAGGGGGCTGCTACCTGCGGACAGGACAAGGGTAGGAACATACAAAATAAAATCAAATGCGCTGCTCTATGAGGCTGCTATCGAACTATGACGAAACCGAATCTATTTCCAGAAGCCAGCAAATTCTAGAGTTTGAAAAATCAATCAAGATGGTGCAACGGTTAGCTAGCAAGATTGAAAAGGGCATAGAGAAGCTTGTTAAATATGAAAACAGCAGACAAAAGGAAGCCAAGAAACAGAACACCGGATGGATGGATGGATGGATGGATGGATGGATGGATGGATGGATGGATGGACCAATGGCCCAAACACAGCAATGGATTGTTGATTGACTGTTAAATGGTAGATTAGAAACTAATTAGGGGAAAGATGGAAAATCAGGCTAATGGACAGACAACTTCAGAGAGTTAGAAGGATGGATAAAATACATTTTGGATACATTTACATACATAAAATCCATTATGTTAATACTGTATATATGTGGAATAAAAAGGCAGATGCCCTGGATACATAAAATAATGAAAAAAACAAAGAAGGAACAGGGTGTAGAGAATTACAGGAAAATGGATGCACCACTGAAGACCAAAACTGCTTCTGAATAATTTTCATAGGACTACTTTGGAGTCAATGTCATGCTTGCTGCCAAATACACAGATAAACTCATAAAGATGAATAAGGTGTGAGCGAACATAAATTAAAGATTTCTGTGGACATTTTGCCTCACTATGGCAAATAGGTACAACATAAAATTATGGAAGACTCCCCCACCCCCCCAAAAAACCCCCACATATATCACATTTGGTCAGTTCCGACAATGAGAAGGAATCCCACTTTAAAAACGAGGGACAGAGCAAAGATTAAAAGACAAAGAGATATGCCCTTGATTTCTTTTTTTTTAAAGGGCGTTGAATGATTCCTGGATAGGGACATTAACAATCGGGATGCAATATGTTCTTTCTCAGTAACTTATTCAGTCTTAATAGCCAGCTTATTTAAAGGATGGCTTGCTGTCTAGGCAAGAACAGAAGAGCAGGACTTAAAATGCCAGGAATTTACAATGTCTCCTGCAGAAGGCACATCAAGGCTGGAATTCTTGGAAGAAGGAGGGCCAAGGGCCTAACTCACCAATATGACCTGGGAGTGGAGAGTGAGGTCGTGGCAGTGTTGGTGATGTACTTGTCAGGATCAGGCTTTTTCTGTTGCTGGTTCGGCAGCTGTACAAAGAGCAGGAAAGAAGAAAGGCTTAAATCAAGGTGTGCGTGGACAAAGAGCCGAGGTGGCGCAGTGGTTAGGGTGCAGTACTGCAGGCCACTTCAGCTGACTGTTATCTGCAGTTCAGCGGTTCTAATCTCACC